ATTATGTATCTTAATGTAGTCTACTTCTGTGCCAAGTTATATTGAAATCAAACGAAAACTGCAGGAGGAGTAGGGTTTTGAAAGTATTTCAGAAATTTCTATTTTTAGTAACCATGACAACACCATTCACCGAAATAAAAAAAAACAGAAATACATATTATGTATCATAGTGTATTCTATCTGTGTGCCACATTAGATTGAAATCAGACCAAAATTGTAGGAGGAGTAATGTTTTATGGGAATTTTACAAATATTTCTATTTTTAGTAACCATGGCAACACCGTCCACCGAAATCAAAAACTGATGCACTAAATTATGTATCCTAGTGTAGTCTACTTCTGTGCCAAGTTATATTGAAATCGGACCAAAATTGTAGGAGGAGTAGCGTTTTAAAGGAATTTCACAGAAATTTATATTTTTAGTAACCATGGCAACACCATCCATCGAAATCAAAAACCGATGGACTAAATTATGTATCTTAGTGTAGTCTATTTGTGTGCCAAGTTATATTGAAATCAGACTAAAACTGTAGGAGGAGTAGCGTTTTAAAGGAATTTCACAGAAATTTCTATTTTTAGTAACCATAGCAACACCGACCATCGAAATCAAAAACCGATGCACTAAATTATGTATCTTAGTGTAGTCTACTTGTGTGCCAAGTTATATTGGAATCAGACCAAAACTGTAGGAGGAGTAGCGTTTTAAAGGAATTTCATAGAAATTTCTATTTTTAGTAACCATGGCAACACCGTTCGAAACCAAAAACCGATGCACTAAATTATGTATCTTAGTGTAGTGTACTTGTGTGCCAAGTTCTATTGAAATTGGTCCAAAACTGTAGGAGGAGTAGCGTTTTAAAGGAATTTCACAGAAATTTCTATTTTTAGTAACCATGGCAACACCGTCCATCGAAATCAAAAACCGATGCACTAAATTATGTATCTTAGTGTAGTCTACTTCTGTGCCAAGTAATATTGAAATCAGACCAAAACTGTAGGAGGAGTAGCATTTAAAAGGAATTTCACAGAAATTTCTATTTTTAGTAACCATGGCAACACCATCCATCGAAATCAAAAACCGATGCACTAAATTATGTATCTTAGTGTAGTCTACTTGTGTGCCAAGTTATATTAAAATCGGACCAAAACTGTAGGAGGAGTAGCGTTTTGAAAAATTGTTTACAGACAGACGGACAGACAGACAGACAGACAGACAGACGGACGGACGACGGACACCTTACTATCGCATAAGCTCTTCTGGTCTCTGACCAGTAGAGCTAAAAACAGTTAAATTGAAAATTACAAAATGCTAATAAAAATATATACATTTAAATCTTACTGTAAAAATCAGTTTCTTGCAAGTATTGTAAAATTGCACTAGGATTTACATTTGTAAAAAGATCATGCATTGTTTGCACGCCATTAAAAAGTTTATTTCGAACAGGCGTAAAATCAGAACATTCTAAAAGTATATGGTTTATAGTTATTACACAGTCACAAGATATGCATTCAGGTTGATGTTCCCCGCTCAGTAAATATGAATGGGTAAACCTTGAATGTCCAATTCTTATTCTTGAAATAATGACTTCGTCCTGACGTTTCAGGCCAAAGTCAGATGATTGATTAACTTTGTTTTGTATGGCATAAAGTTTATTATTATCACAAAAATCCCAAAATATTTGCCAAAGGGAATTTACGTAAAGTTTCACCAAGTACTTAAGATCAGTGTAAGGAATTTTAAAAGGTACAATTTCATACTGAAGAGCTGTTTTTGCAGAACTATCGGCCTTGTTATTACCCGAAATACCAATGTGACTCGGAATCCAACAAAATTCGACTTCTTTGCCTTGTTGAGTAAGATGATAGAACTTAGTTAATATATCCAAAATGTATGGGTGATTTGTATTCATATTGTGTATGGACTCTAAACATGAGAGCGAGTCTGAAAATATTGTAAATGAATTTTCACTAGAAGTTTTTATATATTCAAAAGCAAGTTGTATAGCTTTTGCTTCGGCCGTAAAAATTGTTGCTTCGTTCGGAAGTCGTGTAGAAAAAACATCATTTTTGACCACTGCAGCAGCAGCAACCCTGCCTCTGTCCTTAGAACCATCTGTGTAAATTTCTCTTGAAGGATGTTTAGATTTTATTTCAGCTAATTTCTGTTGAAAAATGAGAGGATTTGTTTCTGATTTCTTAAGATCTGATAAAGATTTATTCACTACTGGTTTAATTAATTTCCATGGTGGTATTTCAGAAAGAGTGGAAGGTTTTACAATATCCAATGGTAGTTCGGAATCTCTTATATGATTTTTATATCGGAAACAAAGTGGTTTTATGCATTTCTTGTTTTTATCATATAAATTTGCATTTGGTGGATGAAAAACACAGTCATGAGCAGGATTATCGGTATTTGCTTTTAATTTAATTATATATTGTAAAGCAAGTTTAATTCTTCTCAAGTCTAGAGGTGGTTCATTTGCCTCTAGATATAAACTATCTTTAGGAGAAGTTCTAAAAGCCCCCAAGCACAATCTAAGACCTTGATGGTGGATTGCGTTAAGAGCTTTTATATAGGAAGTCCTAGCTGATCCATACACAATACACCCATAGTCTAATTTCGATCTTACTAGAGAGCGATAGAGTTTAAGTAGAGTACTTTTATCAGCTCCCCATTTTGTGTTTGCTATTACTTTAATAATATCGAGTGCCTTTAAACATTTTTCTTTGAGCATCTTTATGTGTGGAATAAAAGAGAGTTTATTATCAAAAATGACACCTAAAAACTTTATTTCTTTAACTACATTTATTGGATTTCCATTTAATTGCAAATTCGGATCATCATGGCTTTTCCGCTTTAAACAAAAATGTACACACGCGGTTTTATTCATTGAAAATTTAAAACCATTAGTATCGGCCCAATTTTGAATTTTGTTTAGACACGATTGCAACCGCCGCTCAATAAAACTCATATTTTTAGACCTACAACACAGAACAAAGCCACCAACACATAAACTACCATGCATACCATCCCCAAGCACCTCAGCCAAACTATTTATTTTAATGCTGAATAATGTGACTGAAAGAACACCCCCCTGTGGCACACCCACCTCCTGCCCAAAACTGCCCGAAACCGTAGTTCCTAATCGCACCTCAAAAGCTCCATCATCCAAAAAACTCCCAATAAAACCAGGCAAACCTCCCCTGAGACCAACACTGCAAAGATCTTTTAAAATTTTCCATGTAGTATCATACGCTTTCTCCAAGCCAAAAAAGACAGACACAGCATGCCCCCTCTCAACAAAATCATCCCCAACACAGGCCTCCAGTCTAACTAACTGGTCAATAGTACTTCGGTTTTTTCTAAAACCACATTGTATATTTGCAAGGATGTTATTGGCTTCAAGAAACCACACTAAGCGCTCATCGACCATCCGTTCCATGGCTCCACACAAGCAGCCTGCCAACGCAATTGGTCGATAATTATTAGGGTCTGCATGGTCCTCTCCAGGTTTTGGAACAGGAATAATTGTGGCTTGAGTCCAGGAAGGTGGAAAATGACCTCGTTCCCAGACAGTATTAAAAATTTTCAGAAGACATTCTTTACTTTCACTAGGAAGATGTTTAATTATTTGATAGTGGATATGATCCGGCCCTACAGCTGTGTCATGAGATTTGTCTAAAGATTTTTGCAACCCTCCAAAAGTAAATGGTTCATTATAACACTCCCTGTTTTCGGATATAAAATCTAATGTTTTCTTTTCTTGAGTATTTTTATGAGCAATAAAATTAGGACTCATGTTGTTTGTCGAGGAATTTTTTGAAATTGTATTAGCTATTTCATTAGATATTTCTTTCTTATCAGTTATAATTTGATTTCCAATACTAAGATGTTGATATTTTTCAGGACCTTTTCCTTTTATTTTCCTTATTGCGTTCCAAACTTTATTTATAGAGGTATGTGAATTTAGGTTTGAAACAAACTTTTTCCAAGATCTTCTTTTGTTAAAATTAATAGTTCTGCGAGCTTTTGCTCTAAATACACGGAAATTGCTTAAATTTATTGATGTAGGTACTCTATTGAATAATCTTTCTGCTTTTTTTGAGCTTTTATTGCTTCATTGCATTCTTCTGTAAACCATGGTTTTTTAGTTCTAGTAGAATTTGTCGAGGTTTTAGGTATACATTCATTTGCAGTATTTAATAGTATTTCAGTAAATTTTTGAATAGGATCAGGATGGTTTTCAAATTTTTCATCCAAAATATTTTGTAAGCATAAGTATTCAAATTTATTCCAATCAGCCTTGTTTTATTTCCAGTTTTGAACATTGTTATTTTCAGAGGGTTTGGGTACTTTAAGTATGATTGGGAAATGATCACTCCCGCATAAATCATCATGCACTGACCAGCTTAAATCTAGGAGTAAAGAAGGATCTACTAAACTAATATCTATTGATGAATAAGAACCATTACCCGGATGCAAGTAGGTGTTTGAGCCGTCATTAAGTATACAAAGGTTATGATGCGATATTGCATCTTCAATTTTTTTCCCTTTATCTGTGATTTTGTCGCTACCCCAAAGCGGATTATGGGCATTAAAGTCACCGACAATCAGAAATGGAGCAGGGAGTTGTTCTATTAATTTTGTGAGTTCTAAAGATTGTAATTGATAGTGTGGGGGTACATATACAGAACAGGGGGTAATTGTCTTATCGAGAGAAACGCGTACAGCTACTGCCTGAAGATTAGTTTTTAAACTTATTTGGCTGTGAATGTATTTATTATTGATTGCTATAGAAGTACCGCCAGATGCTCTATCAGTTTGAGCATAATGGTTATACATACTATAGTTTTTAATATTGATCTTATCTGTTTCCTTTAAATGTGTTTCCTGTAAACATAAAGCTACCGGGCAATGGTCCTGAATAAGTAAAGATAATTCGTTAAAGTTAACTCTAAAACCTCGACAATTCCATTGTATAATTGTAGGATGATCCATATTTATTTCTTGTTATAGGAGATGGGGGATATTCTTCCTTTATTTTTATTGGGTGACACGCTTCCGGCCTGCGAGGAAGAATGGCATGGTGTAACGTCCATTTCTTCTAGGACCCCAAATTTATTGTGGAGAGCGACGAGGTCGTCTGCCCCTTTCGGCAACCGATCCCTCGACTGCTTCTGATTGTTTTTTGGGGGAGATCTGTTTTGTCTCCCGGATGATCTAGATGTTCCTGCAGATTCAGGCTTTGATGCAGCCGCAGCTGCAGTTTTTGGTGCAGCCACAGCTGCATGGCCTGCAGAAGCAGGTGATGAAGTAGATTTACCTTTGTCATGAGAAGACAAAGGTGCTTCAGATGATGAGGTCTGCTGTAGAAAATCTTTCTCAGAGACCTGAGTAGACACTTCCTTCAAAGAGGATGATTTAACAACAGTTGCATACGTCATATTTGGTTTTGGAACGCTGTACATGTTCACTAATTTTTTAGCTTCCGGATATGGTATTCTTTTCTCTGGTTTAACTTTTTGTATTTCTTTTTCCTTTTTCCATATCGGACATTGTTTTGAAGACGACATGTGCTCCCCCTTGCAATTTTTACACTTTGGGTCATTCTGACAAGTTTTGCCGTCATGCCCCTCCTCACCACACCTGAAGCATGTTTCAGATCCTTTACAATTCATTTGCCCATGCCCAAATCGCTGACACTTAAAGCATCGCAAAGGATTGGGCACAAACGTTTCAATTTTCATTAGGTACAGCCCAACTTTGATGTTGGTAGGGAGAGTTGGCATACAAAAGGTCAAAAGGTAAGTGTTTGTTGGTTCAACAACATCATTACGCTTTTTTGTGAATCTTCTTACAGAGATCACTCCCTGGGATTCCAATTCAGATTGGATTTCCTGTTCAGGAATACCATCCAGGTCGTGATCCCTGTCAAACAAAATACCTTTGCTCTGGTTGAGTCCGCTATGAACCTTTCCAAGTACAGGGATATCTGCCAACATTTTTAAAGCCAACAAAGAATTTGAATGTTGTTTCTTGGTGACTTCAATAAGAAGAGCACCAGACTTCAACTTTTTTACAGATTTAGGCGTACCAATAATTCCTTGAATACCTTTTTGTATAAGAAAAGGCGATACTTTTGTAAGAGGCTTTGAATTTTGATCCGATAGTTTTGCTTCAAGTGTGATGAAGCGAGGCCAGTGTTCCACAACGGAGTTAAGTTGTTCGTCGTTGAAAGAAATTTCTAGACCTGTTGGGTAACAACGTTTTTTTGATTTTGAAGTATCCATGGTTAGATGAAGAACGTTTCAGAATCCTTGCTCCCCGCCCACCTCGGAGCGCCAACAAGGGCGATATCTAGTCAAACGGATATCCAGTAAGATAGACACCAAGAGGATACAAAGAGACTATACTCAGACATGATATGCCTGATTGACCCTGAGCCACCGCTTAATATAAATATATCAACATGGAAACGTCGGCGTATTGGAAATTGCAAAATGAATCAGATAACATTACAAAAAATGCAAAACATCAATACTATGGCATGCAGATATTATCAGCTCGGCGTGACCAGCCGATTGATCAAGTCGGGCCAAACTTGACCTCCCGTCTAGATGAATATGGGGCCAAAGTGGAGTGTTGGTCATGTCAGGTGCGTTGCACCCAGCACCCGCAGACCTCAGCCACCAGGATCCCCTTCTCCACCAACACGGGTTGCAACCCACGGCCAACAGGTTAAATAAAAGTATACGTCAATACTAAGCCGTGGTTGGTCATGTAGATTATAAGCAAACGATGATGACATTCGACAAAAGAACCATTTATTTGTTTCTCTGCTTTTCTTCAACTTACAGAGACAAAAAAAGACCCGATTGTCGAAGTCGTACTCGAGTCAACCTTCCAGTGTTAATTGTCATCTCTCTCTCTCTCTCGAGATGACACATTAAGTTTGTAACCCCGGATATGAAGCCCCAGTGTAAGCTGCCATTGATAAGCTGGTGGTCTGGCAAATGACAACGATTTCTAAATTTAAAGATGTAAACAAAACTGCTCAATGACAAAGAATGGACGATCTGTCAAACAGGCCCTCTTAAAAAAGAAAAACTACACATAACTCATAGAGAGTCACAGAGACAATATCGCTTGGGTAGTGGTGGGTCTTCAAAATACATGCAGTTATCTAATCATGGTCAGCGCGTGTGTATCAGAATGCACTAAACATGACATCGATTAGAACGGCCAAGGCGTGGATCAAAGTATTTACAGAAAAACAAAGTGGCGGGTCTTCAAATAACATGCAGTTATCTACGCTGTTACGTAAATGATGGCCAGTGCGTGTGTATCAAAGTACACTTTACATGGCATCGATTAGATCAGCCAAGGCGTGGATCTAAGAATTTACAGAAAAACAAAATCAAAGTAAATACTCGCATTAAAAGTTTAAATAAGATTGATGTGAACTGATGTCGAAAATTTTACCTTTATGTGTATCTTAATCATTCAATAACCTGATGCCATTTTTAAAAAATATTTTTTTTAAACAAATAGTTAATGTTAAAACTACAGGCATTGGAAGAAAGATTATATAATCATTGTGAATTTTTACGCATGTCTGCACTATTCTTTGTTTTTTGTTCTATAAAAAATGAATGTCAGAAATACAATATTGTTACCTTTGGGCCATCATTAAAAATATCTTTGTTTCCCCTAACCCGACCCTAAATTTTTAGTTGAGTAGGTAGGTAGGTAAATTATTATTTTTTTTATGACAGTTTTGAAAATACATTCTGAAAATTGAATAATATCGCTATAAATAAGAAAGAACAAAAGAAAGTGATTTTTAAACCTAATATCATACAAATGAAATTTAAAAGCAACATGTATGGTAAATTAATTCACAAATATTATTCATTTGAACTTGTGAAATATCTCAGGCCAGCGTAAATTTATTGAAATTGAATTTTTACAAAAAAGTCAAGATTCGCAAAAACTCAACTATATTGGCCATCCGAGTATATTTTATTATGCCCCTGGATCGAAAGATCCCGGGGTATATTGTTTTTGTCCTGGCTGTCTGTTTGTCTGTCCGTTTGTCTGTTGTCAACTTTAACCTTGCCCATAACTTTTGATTGGTTGGAGCTATGACTTTCATATTTCACATGTGTATTCCTTGTGACAAGACCTTTCTTTGGGTACCATCATATATGACCTTTTGACCTTGACCTTAGAGTTTGACCCATTTTTGCAAAATTTTATGAAACTTTTTTCTTATTTGATTCGTTATCTTAACAAATCCGCTACAATCACTACATTTAGCTTTAGTTTGCTTGCATTTCATTTACACATGTTGCACCCCTGAGGAATGTCTACTCCTTTCTTGTAAAGGACACTTTTCATCCCATAAATTAATTTGTCTAATTCTTTGTAGATTATTGTGGTACAATCACTGAAAATAAACCAAAAAGACAAATATTAAAATTTCTAATCCTCAAAAATGACACAATTTAAATAACTGGTAAATAATGTGAATATTGTAACATACGAGCGTTGTTTAGAAAGTTCGTGGACTACCGTCATAACTTTTTTACTCAACGTCATTTTATATCCAAATTTGGAAGACATATTTCAACAGTAAATTCAAATGATGTGTATTAAATTTTTTTCAGTATCTTGGTTTATTTCAAAATTATTTAGACTTAACAAATGCGAAAATCGGATCATGGAGCAGCTGAAAATTTTGTAATTTACAATCAAGACACCAAATAATATCTTAAGTGATATCTTCTGTAAAATGAGACAAAAAATGGAAAAATTAGACAAAAAATGGAAAAATTCTACACGTTCAAATTAAGAATTGTTTCATCCTTTCTGATTCCAAATTATGACTTAATATTTTGCTTCCTTGAAAAGAAATCAGTTTCAGAGGATAGGTAGTCCAATATAAATATTTTTACATATGATAATGAGCTCATTTTAAACTTCTTGAACATAGTATAACAAAGACTCGCATTTTTCAACTTGAGACCTTTGACCTACCTTTCAAAAAAGTTCACAAATACGATATACAGCACATTTTTATAAATTTAGGGGAGAGGGTTATATTGAAATCAGCATGTCGGTCTGTCTGCCTTGCCAATAAAGATAATATGGTATAATATTGTCAAAAGACATTTACCGGTAAATATTTCCTTTAAAAAAAATTTACAGGCAAGTTACAAAGGATATAGTGAGAAAAATGGGTAATTCACGACAAAGGGAAATAACTCTTGCAAATGGAAAATTTGTCTATATAAGAAATCCCACAAGGAAAACTTGGTTTACTGTCACATTGACAGCTTTCCACTTGTTTATATCTTTCATGAACATGTGTCCCTTGAAACACTTTAGAATAACACTGATTTATAGTTTACTTCAGTTAAGTTGGTAAAACTTGTGTGTTTTGTTATGTCAAATTACATACTCTTAATTCAAAACTTCAAAAGATTTTATCAATGTGTTGGGCACAGAACTACAATCTAGCTTGTATTTGCCTTTCAGGTCATTATCTGAAATCGCTCAGTTTCAGGAGGGGCTGGATTTGGTTCTTGGATTGTGGTACGAGATAAAGAAGAATCCAGTTACATGGATGCCAATGTTCTGCAAGAGACAAGAACCACTTTCAAGACAGAGGTTCTCTGAATTGTGCGAATTCATCAGAAGCCCTGTAGGCAGCAACAGACGGATCAAAGAGGATGACACAATATATTCCTGGGAAATTCTAATGCAGGATATACACAGTGATTTTCAAATGCACAATATTTAGTGTGATAGCGTCTAATGAATCCAAAGTATGTGTCTTGAAATTTCAAAATTTAAGCTTCATTTTGGAATAATTAGCTCTGTCTCAGAATAATTAGCTCTGTCTCAGAATGCAAGAAGAGTTAGCATGACTTGTTCTTTAATTTTTCTGACATGATTTTTATTCATTTCCAGATCAAAGAGCTCCAATTACTTTTGAATATTTGCTTATATTTATCACGGGGGTCGATGAAATCCCCGTCTGTGGATTTTCGTCGATAATATTTAATGAGTTTTACACCAATGAGAAATGAGAAACACGTTTGCCGTTTTCCTCAACTTGCGCACTATCATTATCTTTACCAAGAGGTATAAATTAATGGAAAAAAAACTGTAATAGTCTTTTTCATTGTGTCGCAGTCCGGTACAATCCTTTTATAGTGGCTATCTTATTTAAGAAAACCCTCAGGTCAACACGCATAGTATTTCCATATAAGCATACGGTCATAAATACATTTCCAGACATTGAAAAAGGTTGTATGAATTCACAGAGTGTGTCATTTGCTCTGATATCAATAAAGGATTCATTCTGATGTGGCGATTCCACTACGGATGGTCTTGTAGATAAACTGAATATGGTTGTCAAAGTCACAATCATACAGGAAGCTGACAGTATTCCAAGAATTCCACTGGTTCGTTACGCAATACAGCGCTTTCTTAGAGAGCTCCTTTCCTCGGTCATCTTCCGCTTGTCAATGGGAACACTAATCTAATTGTGTTGAATTTGTTCATTTAAAAGCAAGATCTTTACCAATAATTCACGTGATTGGACATTGCTTTTAAAATTCTTTTCTTTCCCCAAAAGTAATCTTAATAAATGATAGGATTTTTTTCTTTTTGGGGTTGGGGGTGGGGAGTATAACCAGAACAAGAAGATAATTTTATCTTTAAACGAATTTAAAACAAAAGGTTCTCAAAAAGTGTTCATAAAAAGTCTCTATAAGGATGTTCTGGAGTGTAATTCATCATGTAAAATTATATTAGAATCCAAGAAATGAAACTGAATTATGATCTTAAATTATTCTTAAGTTTATTAAAAGCCCCCCCCCCCCAAAAAAAAAGAAAGAAGAAAACTTCAATTTCAAAGGTAAACATTTATAAAAATAAAACCCTCCAGAAGATGGTATAAATTTAATTTTCACACTCAGACTTTTCATAATCCTGGAATAATTAAAAAAAAGTGAGTGTGTGTGTGTGTGTGAAAGGGTGAGGGTGTATGTGTGTGTTGAAAGGGGGGGGGGGTGACTATCATTGCTGAACTATTTCCTTTCCAACCGTTGAATTGGATATCTCTGAAAATAAATTCTGTCACTTCATTTCTATTTATGTCCGTACTTGTAATTTACTTATTTCCTTTTTATCTCTATCCTTAGAGTCAATATTTATTATAAGTTTTATATCTCTCCTTCATGAAAATTAATTAATTCATGAAGGAGGGACAAACTATACG